GCTGACATATTGAGCTACAAGAGGCCAACGTCAGCTAAGGGTCTACGACAGTTCTTAGGTATGTTAAACTTCTATCGTCGTTTTATACCTAGAGCTTCAGATGCACAATCACCACTAAGTGATCTCTTAGTACCTAATCTAAAAGGTAAAGCACCTATTAATTGGACACCAGAAGCAATTTCAGCGTTCGAGAAATGCAAGGAGGAACTCGCCACAGCCACGCTTCTCGCGCACCCATGTGACAACGCTCGACTGGCTATTGTAAGCGACGCTTCAAACACAGCGGTTGGCGCAACTCTCCAACAGTTCATCAATGACGAGTGGCAACCCCTCGCCTTCTTTTCCAAGAAACTCACGGCGACTGAGACAAAATACGGAGCTTACGATCGAGAACTTCTTGCGATCTATCTCGCTGTCAAACATTTTCGGCATATGGTGGAAGGACGCGAGTTTGTTATATACACCGATCACAAACCTATCACTTTCGCATTTCAACAGAAATCGGATAAGTGCACACCACGACAATTCAGACACTTGGACTTTATTTCACAATTCACCACGGATATTAGGTACGTTCCTGGTAAACAGAATATCGTGGCTGATACCCTATCACGCGTGGACGCATTATCAGACACGTTAGACTACACTGCTTTAGCAATGTCACAACAGGGAGACGACGAATTGAAAAAGTATGCACAAGAAAACACCGGATTGCGACTTAAGCAAGTGGAATTACCAGGCACGAATGTCTTAGTGTTCTGCGACACATCAACTTCAATCGCCAGACCTTTTGTTACAAAGCCTTTTCGACGAACAGTTTTCAATACCATACATCGCCTTGCACATCCAGGAGTTAAAGCCACAGTGAAGCTTGTAAAACAGCGGTTTGTGTGGCCAGGAATTGACGCAGATTGCAGACATTGGGCACGGGCATGTGTCGAATGTCAACGAGCCAAAATCACGCGACATGTCACAGCACCCCTTGGGTCATTTTCTCTACCGTCTCGAAGATTTGAGCATGTTNTCTATTTTCGTGTTATAATTTTGTTTAATAAAAGTCTACCGCCATTTAAATAATTGTGTGTTGTAAGATATAACCCACAAGAGCATAATAATTTTTAATTATTAAAAATAATTCAGAAATACAATTATTTAATTCATAAATGATATACATCTTGTCTATTTGTTATACAAATAGATAAGTTAAACGGAACACGAGTAAGACCGTAAGCACCAAATGAAATCAGTATGCGTTTATATACATAGTGATTACATATTATTTATAATAATAATGTATTTTACCACAATATAATACAAGAAAATTTATTGATTTTGCCAAGTAAATATTATTCAATGTATTATTTTTGAAAAAGAAAAATAACTATTGCACCCTTCTATGGACGGACAAAAATATAATTAATATAGAAACTAAATGACTATAGCATAAAAGATATAGGAAGCAAAAAAAATAAATAAATAGTTTAACCACTATATACAGAACTACAATACTACCTTATATTGAGTATGGAGATATAAATTATTATTTTTCTTAATCAAACTTGCTAAAATTCTAGAAGAATCTATTTTTCAAATGAAAAGAATACAATCTGTTCTTTAATACTGTTAAAACACTCAATTTTAAGTTCAATTGTTAAAAATAAAATATTTTTTTTAATAGATGAGACTCTAAAAAACTTATACCACATTTCGATAACATCACTTAAAAAGAGGCAATCTAAGAGACAGAAAAATTACAAATAAGAAATTTCAAAAATTTTGGGACGATGCACTTAACTTTAGTATCTTTAAAGTAATAAAACATTTTCATAAATGATATTTGTCTATTACACCATGAGTGAAGAAGTCATTATTATTAGAGTAAGAATTGGATACACCTTTTTGGCTAATTCATACCTTATTTCAAAAAATTAAAAAACAATTTGTGATACATTTTTACAATATAATGTATTAATAATATATATGTAATAATCACTGGCTGCTCAAAATACTCAAATGCCTTAATAATTATAGTAAATCACCATTCAAAACACTTAGAGAAGAAAATGGAAAGATAATATGTCAGCTATTTACTAACATAGGTTTAACTAATAAATTGTAAATAAAATTTATTGAATATTTATTTACAAAACAATATACAAATAATTATCAAATTCATTGTAAAAATATAAGTAGATAAATTTCAATCTAATAATATAGTCTCAGAGTTTGACGGTTTCCACAGTTTACAATTAGATGGGAACCGGATGAAATTAAATATTTTTTAGAAGTGGTGCAAATAATAAATAACAACATCAATGTAAAAAAAGCACTGGGTTACGATGATATCAACCTAAGAATGATAAAATAGTTACCCCAGAAAGCGATTGTTTATCTTATACACATTTTCAATGCAATCTTGCGAACTGAATACGTCCGAAACTTTGGAATACAGCTCAAGTCATAATGTTGCCAAAACTAGGCAAACCACAAGAGTAGGTAACATCTTATAGGCCAATATCGCTCTTACCTTGTTTATTTAAGCTTTTTGAAAAAGTTCTTCTTAAAAGGATAAAACCACTAATTGAGGAAAAACAGCTTTTACCTGACCAACAATTTGGCTTCCGTAATAAGCACTTTACAATTGATCAGGTTCATCGAGTTACCAATGTGATTCATCAGTACTGTTGCGCATGCATTTGATAAAGTTAGCATGAAGGTCTACTTTTAAAAATAAGAAAACTTAGTGTGCTTTAATGGAATCTTATTTGACTGAAAGGGAGTTTTGGGTCATGCACGAGCAAACTATGACAGTTTGGAAAACTATATCAGCAGGAGTACTATAAGGTAGTGTTTTAGGACCTATTCTGTATTTATTTTATACTGTTGATTATTCATCAAATAACGATACGGCAACTGATATGTTTGCTGATGATACGGTAATATTAGCGACCAGTTATAATCAACAGTCTGTAACTGAAAACTTACAAAACTCGATAAATAACATCTTCCTATGTACAAGACGTTGGAAAATTAAAATTAACGGTGACAAATCAGTACGTGTTAATTATATACTATGTAATACCATTAATATTCCTGTTAAAATGAATTATCATGTAATCCTACAAAAAGATTTGGCAAAATACTTAGGAATGCATTTAGACTGACGTCTTAATTGGAAACATCATTCACGCCAAAAAAGTTTGCAAATACAACTAAAAATGAAAAAGTTATATTGGCTGATCGGGAAACATTCTGAACTTTCATTAATCAACAAACGTCTACTTTATGTGGCTATCATAAAATTAATTTGGACTTATTGTATATAACTGTGGGGCTGTACTAGTAAGTCTAATATTGTCCTTATTCAATGATGCCAAAATGTTGTACTCCGTACCATCCGTTTCAGCTTATCATTACGATAGAAATGACATAATACTACACCGTAATATGAATTTGCCTACAGTAGCAGAAGAAATAAAGAGATTTGCCCGCAAACATGAGATTAGAATAACAAACCATAGTAACACAACCAACATCCATTCAACTTTTGGACAACTCCGTAGACATCAGACGCCTTTAAACGTCATAAACCATATGGCTTAGTTTAAAAATTAGTTTTTAAATTTGGTTAAGGAGCCATCTCACTGGTTTCACTCCACACATGTGTATTCTTTATTAATTGTTAGAAAACTATGGTTCATGTACAATTATTGTAAAATATATTTAAAAAGATAATTTTATCGTTTAAATAATGAAGTCATTTGATAGTTAGAAAAAAAAACTGCTCTCCTAAAACGACAAAAATGTATTTTTCTCTTTTTGGCACCAATCTTTTAAGCCTCTAAGCCATTTTAAACTTCGTGTCGAAGCTAAAAAATGTTTAAAGGAAGATCATGAGAGTAACTATAAAAAGTAGTATTATTTAGTTTGGAAGTAAAAGGAGGAATTACAAATGGAAAAAAAGTAATTGGAAAATAAGATAGCATAGTCATTAAGTGATACAGAAGTAATATTATTGTAGCATACAGAAGAAGAAATAGAGGAATGTAGGCGTAAGTCGTTGATAAATTTCCAGAGAGCAGTAGGGATCATATGCTAGTAGTATAGTATTATATTAGTTAATATTATCGGCAGATATAATAGAATATATATAAATAAAGCAATTCTGCCAAATTCATGAAAATTTGCATATTTTATCATTTTTCTGGAAAACTAATGGATTTAACAAAAAAAATGTTAAATCTAATTTTGTACAAAATATTTAAGTCTACAATTTATATTCTATATATTTTTTTCATTGAGCATTCGTTTACGAGTCAAATAAAAATAAACGAAAAAACTACTTTAATTGACCAACTTTCAATCTGACAGTACGGTTTTAAATTGTCTGATCAACCTAACATTGTTTATGGTTTCTTTATACGCTTATATGTACAACTTCAAGGAGTGAGACCTAAAAATATCCTAAGTTCGAAATAAGAAACACTCTATTAGGCATTCAAGAATATCATGTGTAATGCAATGAATTTTAAAAACGTATTGGAGCAATTTTTGAATAACAAATTTTTAAATAAATATCACTGTCTCGACTAACTTTAAAATATTTTGTGCCATTGAAAATACCTAGTACTGATAAGTGATAATAGCATCAGTAAGAAGTTGTTTACCGTGAAGTAATTTATGATTCGCATACAGTGTGGCAGCAATCGAAAACAATAATTTTTTATAATATATTGCACCTTTTATTATTATTTTTATTGTTACTTCTCCGAGTAAAATTGTTGATTTCACTCCGCATAGTTTTTTTCATTTTAAACTGAACGGTCAGTATTCCGCTTTGATAATATTTAGATACACCACGGCAAAGATGAACAGTCCAACGGGCACTAGAAGTCCAGCGGCGATTGGATTGGGGTAGGGCTGCTGTGGCACCGCCGACGTACCGTATGACCGTGAGTTTTGGGATGGCGGAAGGCGGTGCGCAACGATAATCCAACGTGCTGAGTAACGCAGCAGTCACCGCGCGGCAGTCCTGACTGCGATTTCGACCGCACCGTGCCTAACGGTTATTTTAATTTATTATTTTTTTTGTTGCTTATCATTTTTAGTTAATTTTTTTGCGTTTTTGTTTTTGTTCAAATACATTTAACGATTGTTTTAATTTTTAACATAGTATTGGATAACGACCTTACAATGAATAACTCGACAAATTTTAATTCAGTTTCTCTTAACACATGAAGTCATTTGTAATTTTTGGATCGAATTCATATAATTACTGAACTCATCACGATCATCATTTACTCGTAAGAACAAACCGAGGTTAGTATAATATCATTATAAGGTATTATTTAGCTTTACACCTCTATTTGTCGATAGTAAGAAGTATTTTTTTAACTATGTAATAAAGCAAAGGCAAAAATAAATTAGAATACTAATACATAATTATAACGATGAAATAATTCAAACCATATAACGGATGCGGGCGTCACTAGAAGGGAAAAAACATTGGGTACAATATAATAATAAATAAGTTATTGAATTAAATGACGTGTCTGTTTATGTATGCTTTTTTCTTATCCCGACACATTGTTATTCATCTATTTGATGCGCCCTAGTACGTTTTAGTTCAAGTAGAAGTCTGATATAAATTAAACACGGGGTCAGACGATAGTTGAAATGTAGTGAACACTCACAGATACGTCGATGTAAATCAATATGTACACTTAGTCAGTATTACTTCGTGTACGTTGAGCACACGTGTTGTTTGGGAAGGCTAATTTTATTTCTTCTGCACACGGTAAAATGCACTATCGACTCGGAATCGGGCGGGACCGTGTCTTAAAGGGCTGTGTAGTGGCTGCGTGTTGGTTAAATCGATTGCGCATAGAGTGCAATGCGCAAAATTTGCCCTTGTCCAGCTACTTGGGTTTGCGAAAATATCAATAAAATGGCTTTGCTTTAACCTACTCATGACACCCTGGAGGAATTGGTGCACGAAAAAACCTAGGACTTTTGTGGTCAGGTTCAAATATGTGCATAAGGATGTATTTAATAAAGACCCTTCTGTCTCTATTAAAAGGGATAATATGGAAACAAACAAATGTTTGACTCTGATTTTACTAATTATTATTGGTTTGTAGGCAGTTAAAAAAACGTGTAAATATGAATACGGAAGGTTTGCTTATCTTCCAAAATAACAACATTTATTGATTATTATAATCTATATAGTTATTTAATTATATAGATTATAATAATCTAATAAATATAAAAAATTCATCAAAAAAAAAAAAACATACAGCATTAAGTTGAATGTAGTTTTCAAATGTATTTGTTTAATATTTAAAAAGATCAAGCAATTGTAATGTAATTGAAGAGAAATAAACATTAATGTTACTTTTGTCATGATAAGATATTTTTGTTGACATTGAATATTAAATATCAATAAAATAACGATTATTGATAATTACATGGACGTTGAACATACTGACTGTGAATATGAGATTTGTTTAGGTGCTTTATTGAGAAGTCATGTAAAATCGCTTATCTTAACGGTTTTCATTGTATATTGTACTCGGATACAATAGCAAAACTAGTTAGATTGTTTTCATCTACCATTTTCTGCAACTTAAATTTGTATAGTAACATTATATAAAATAACAACACGTTTAAGAGTATTGTGTAGAATTAATAATAATAATATGGTATCGAAATCAAAATTTATTGCAAAATTTTTTGATCTTATATGAACAAAACATATAAAATATATGTTCTATTTTACTGTACATACCACATTAGGTTATTTTGCTAGAAATGATCATCAACAAACTTGCATGTTTTTATTGAAAATTAAATATAGTGTACCAAAGATTTTCAATTAGTTTTTACTTTATGTACACTCGTTTAATTGGTTAATACTTCAGCGAACTCATCTTCATTTAACATGTGTAACTTTGAATAAAAGTTTGTTTTACTCATCAGTTTACCGATCCGTGTTAGAAATTCATTAATGTTTTGCATTAAAGTTAAAAAAAGGTGTAATACTCTTTATTTATTGTAGCCATTTAATATAATAGCGTAAAAAAAAAACATTTTAGCTAGCATAAATATCATTCCTATTTTGGTGATAGTCCGTTATAATTTAGCCGTGTGGGAGTTTTAACGCACGTGTGTGTACTTTATTTTAGGTTCATTATAAAAATTTTTGTTTACATTAATATTTAAATTAGTCTTAACACTTAAAATATTACTCATAGCAATAATAGTAACATAGAATGAGCTTGACTTTTTAAGTGACTAATGTTATAATAGGAAATGTACTGATAAGTTAAGAATATAAACATATAGTTCAGTAATATTAATAATATGCAGGGTAAATATTGTGATCATTATTGTTTAGTATCAGGATACAATGATAATATTTATTTTTTTAGAGCTACGAAAATAATGAAGACGTGTTAAAAATTTATTCAACGAAATTAATTAAATTTTACGAAAAATTTAGTGAAAGGAAATTGTATAAAATTATATTAAAAAAAAAAAATCTATAATTGCACCATTATCATATTTTATAAAAAAACGTATAAGTTTTTTTAAGAAGCTGGCAATTGAATGAAAATCTTATTCCAAAATAAATCTAAACATAAATATAAATTTTATAAACATTCATAAAGATATAAGAAAAATAATTTTAATTCGTCAACTAATAGCTTAAACTAAAAAAAAATGTTTGTTTTTTATCCTTGTTATTCAGTTAGAATTAACATTTTATAATTTCTATATCCCAATTTAAGAATATATTTATAGTTATGATGAATATAATTAAAATATTAATTGAATGCAAGATGATATTGTCATAGTATTATAGTTAAAGCAATTATTTGTGACTAATTTTTTCTTACTGAAAATTAATTGTAGATAAATGATAAAAAAGTTCATGCTTCTGTCAATTTTATAAATTTTTAATATTTGTATATTTATTTTTGCTTTTAAAAAAAGTACAGTCATAATCATTATTCGAAAAAAATTTACTGTTACTAATGATAAAAATGGTATTCAGGTTTTTAAATCCAACTTAACAAATAAATATGTTGTAGTAAAATTGTAAAGTTTTAAAAAACTTTTTTTTGGCAAAGCTGTGAATATTTTTCAAACATTGTAACGAAAATATAATAGATTATTGATTATTTGGTATATATTTATCTATAAGTAATAAAATATCACTAACTCATGAAGGGTTAGTGATATTGCAAAGTGTTAGCATTTGACGATCCAAAAACTTCATGGTTGATTTTTATCAATAAGTTGTTTTGCTTGAAATATCTAAATAACATGTTTCTCGGTAACATGAAGTTTAAATTTGTTAATGACATTTTTCCACTTAGACTTTCCCAAATAAACTAACTTTTACTTTGGCAAAATTCAGAAGCTTACTATTTATGACAAATATTTTCGGTAGTATTGTGAAATATGAGCACATTCAGATTAATAGGTTTTCAATATAAATAAATTATTGTTTAGGGTATATTTATTATATTCTTAATAAATATATATGTATACTAGATGTTTACGGAACAATTAGGTGTCATATTTATCTTATAGTGAGTTGAACTTTTTTTACACTCATAATTTGTCCAAATATAATTTAGTTTTTCAAGGACATTGATATCGAAGGTCTTAAATAATTATCAAATAAGATACGCTCTTCGGTTATGGAAATTATTTGTGTAGTTAATAAAATGATTTAGTATTAACATATTTACATATAGGTTGTTTAATGTGGTAATAAACCAATGAAACCAAAATTAAATATAATTACTACTTCAAAGTTTCAATTTTGTGTAATGATATGTTCGAATGAATTTGTCAATGGTAACGTTTATTTTGTTTGCAGATGGCATTACTAGTAGAATCGCGGTCTTTCCGGCCGTTCAAGTCCAGTGAAGAATACCTGTACGCTATGAAAGAAGATTTAGCTGAATGGCTTAATGGTTTATATCCTGAACTCTATATAAATGTTAACAACTTTATGGATAGACTTGATACTGGCGTTGCTCTATGCAAGGTAATTTTATTCAAATAAATTAGTTGTATTTACTTACTAATCTGGTTTTTTATTACAATATCCTTAAAATACTCTTATACTGATAAAACAGAATAGCTATTTACATTAGATAAAATATATTTCTCTGTGTATCCATTTGGCAACGAACTTAATGTTTTTGAGTAATTTGAGTTACTTTAATGAATCTTAAAAACATAAAAAAAAATGTAATAATATTAATAGTTCTTTAATATTACTATACTAATTCTGACTGTTAAATGTAGAAATCAACTAACATTCCAATTATTATAGAAATATCTATATAATTGAATATTCTTAAAAAGTTAGTAATTTGATATCAGATGAAATTTCCATACCTCCTTTTCAAAGTAATGTAAGATAAAAATGATTTAGAAAAGTGCATTCATAAGAGTTTAGGAAAATGTATTTTGTACCAAAAATAACACGAGCGTTATTATTATTTATCAGTTTTTAACCAATTATCTTTAAAAAGATTTATGGTCAGTATATATTTCGTATATTCAGGGATCGAACATCCCAACTCCTTGTTCTTATATATTATATTTAAATCATATTAAATGTGTGTGTGTATATAATGATGCAAACGGAAATGAGTTAAAAATGAAATAATAATCTCAACTATTGTTGAAAAAGTGAAACACTTTCACACACTATAATTTTTTTAACCGGTTGTAAATTCAGGGGCCAATGGAATCTTCTTAATTTTATTTAAATATTTTCAATGTTCCTCAAAAATAATATTCATTCTATTTTTTTTTATCAATTGTCATTGTCTTTATGGACATATATACGAGTTAATTTAAAATCGTTTTTAAAGAATTTTTGTGACCTTAAAACACGTGCTTACTTGGCAACCCTACGATTCTTCAACCTAAGTATGTTATTAAGTACTATGTTTTTATCAATTATTAAAAGTCTTAATTTATTATTTACAGAAATTAAAAACAAAGTGTATACATTTTCATTTGATATCAGAACACTCTTCAAAGTTTCTAATCCGCATGCCGCTAAACAATATTATGTCGCGTATGAGTGTTGCACGATTTTCTCTTTCCTGTAGGAAATCACGTACTTCGTGCTTCTTTCATTTATTGGTAGTTTCCGTTAAATTATGAAAACACTTTAATACACATTTTATACGAACAATAAAAGTGCATCACCGTTCCTAACATTACATTGTCATTTTTTAAATGCAATAACTTATCAATTACTACTAGTAAGAATATTTATTGTCTTATACTTGACGAATTGAATATTTAAATTGATTTTAAGTGCNTTTGACGAATTAAATATTTAAATTGATTTTAAGTGTATTTCTATAGGACATTTAGTAAGTGGCTATATTATAGATTCCTATACGGATATCTGTTTTTAACTAATCTTTGACGTAAACAGTTGAAAAAATGAAATTTGGTCGTATTATTTAATGTATTTTGTAATGGATTAAAATAAGAGCCGAATTAAATCCTTATTTTATTGCAGAATTGAAGTCTTAGTTGGCGAGCTTTTACTTGTGCAGTTTCCTATTGAATGGCCAATAATTTATTATCGCAATAACATTGCTACATTATTGTACATTTATTGATATTTTATAGAAAAATCTATCGGCATGACTATTTAACACTGCAGTTCTAGGTAGATTTAGTCGATGTCTATATAAGTGTCTCTGGTGGTATACTGTCACTGAGAAAAAGAAATATGGAAATAAGTTTTAATTTTAACACTTTACAGGCAGTCATTGACAAAGAAACAGGTTTTATGTCCCTCGTTGTACAGTATTAATCATTATGTCGAATAGCTGTGTTCCATTTGAATTCATAATGTAAATTAAGTTAAAATCGAGGACGTTTTAAAACATTTAATAATTTTAATAGAAATAAAACAAGAGCTATTTTCCGTCCAAATTATTGTTCTCATCATTATGTAATAACAGAATCAAATTATTATACCCTGGCTGCATACCCCAACTCCGGAAATGCGCGCATCAATCTTGACTCGTCATAAAAATAAAATGTGAGAAATTTCTGAATTATTTTTATTTGATATCATTATTATTTTAACACATGCACTCTAAATACAGCCAATTAGATACCATGTAATGCGAAAAACAAACATAAATCAGGTCAATGTCTTCTTATTCACAGTTATATATTATAAGTAATTATTACCATTATTATCTGTTTTAATTTGATGATCAAACATTAATTTTTTAATACACAGTTATCTTCGCTTCGTTAGGTCAAATTTTAGTCATAAATAATAACTCAAGTTTTCAACCGTCTCTATAATTTACTTCCGTAGAAATAAAATTTTAGTAGATTTTAAATTCTTTCAACTTGAAGTTTTTTCTTTACGGGGTTAATATAATTGGTATGTTTTTAGTTATTTTCCTGTAGTGTTTTACGATACGAAAAAAACCTATGTTTATTTCTATGAAATAAGTGTCCTCTTTAAATAATAGATATTCGATATTATGTTTAACCGTTTAACGGTTAAATTAAAAACGACCAAAAAATGGTCAACGTTGACCAACTTGTATACTCTTCTGTTTTGCCGCTATGATCCAGTGAACGTGTTGGATTTTTCTAGGCGGATTCGCACATCTATAGCAAATGGTGTTGGTGGTTTGTGGGTCATAGAAAATATGTACCACTCGGAATGACTGGCAAATACTGATAATGACTTTATTAGGATGAGATTAAAGTACTGAATATTGTTTAATGTGTGTGTATATATTCTCAAGTCCATTGACTAACATTCGTAATTATAGAAATCGTATCACTTTTAATGACTTTGCTAACAGAATGGGCTGAAAAAATAGCATCAACTTATTGTATTTTGGAAACCGGTTTTTAGGGCGAATAGTACGAGTGTCTTATCGTATTACAGAATTAACTGCGAAATAGTATTACAAGTAGTTTTATTTCAGTAGGTTTAACATTTTTATAGGAACATTTATATTGTCAGTCAAAGGTAGCAGTGATTATGATATCTGATACATGCGATCGGTATATCATCATCGGTTACTTGGCCACTGAAAACGACACGGTGGCGTTTCGAATGAATAACATTGCTATGACGTATTGCCAGAACGTGTAAAAACTAAAAAACTACCATTCATTCATAACGGTCAGGCCTCCTGTAAACCGTAGCCGTAACGATATCGCCCGACCTAATACGATGATTCTGTCCGTCACTATTGTACTTCGTTCAGTTTATAAGAACATTACTTTTCGTTTAATGGCATTTTTTTAAATGCATTTATGTGATTGTTACGAGTTTTACGCTAACCAACAAATTGTAATTTTACTATGAACTTTCAATTCCTTATGGTTAAATTGATATTTAAATAACCTTAGTAGATTTTCAAATCAACATAGGCCAAAAAATTTAAATAATAACCAATTTGTCTTCTCAATATTTATAAAATGAGATAAAAGAATAAATTAGCTCATAAAAAAAATATTCGTGCCTATAATTACTCAGATAAATTTAAACGAAAATACTGTATTTTACTAAATAACTTCGTGGAATAACAATAAAAACAACTAATATTGAAATTAGACACTTTTAAATTTCTACTAGTTAAATTCTTTCTGTCAAATTAAAGCATCGCGTTGTATTATTGTCTGTAGTAAGTTAATATTAATTTCAAAAATTAATTAATTTTGGATGATTTTGACTCTTTAGATGTAACCGCAGATGATTTCCGGTTTACTGGAAAGTGACACACATCTTATTTTGATTTGATCAAAACGACATAGATTTATGCTGTGCAATTCTAGTGAAATGACAAACAATAGATTGAATTAAGAGAAAATTGGAGTATTCTCGATTTAAGTTTTGTTATCGACATTTTACTGGAAAAATATCCATGGTTCATTATTGATACAATTCGTTTTGCTCTACATTGACTTTTTTAGCATTTTTTTATAGTATTAGTTAACATATTTGTTTATATATTGTGCTTGCTTTCAGCTTTTCGATCATTAATCGTTGAAAAATCTAAAGTTATTCTTTTAATTTGAAATTTATAAATTTTAGTCATATTATTGTGTATTATTAAAAAAAAATTACTGCAGTTCGTTCTTTTATCGATGTTAAAGTTTAAAATTAAAAATAAATTATAACGTTTCATAATAAGCCTATCAATATGAATAATATTACAATAAATTCTGAATAAAATTATATCTTGGATTATTAAATTTCACCTTTTTTAGTTACCACATAAATTCAATTAAATAAGTTATTATTTAAAATGACATTGGAAAATAAAGTTAGATGAAAATGTTCAATTTTCAATATTTATAAATGATATTAGAAACACATTATTTCATGGAGAATTTTTTCTTAATTTAAATAATACCCTTTTCAATCTTGTCCTTCCAAATAAACTGCACTATATTTTCGTAGAAAAAAAATCAACAATTTCTAGAAAAAATGTCAGGAATTTAGGTATATATATCTAAAGTTCTAAAAGTTATGTTTTCATAAACTAACCATGAAAATATTCATTGCTATTTTATGTAGTTAGCCATTTTCCTAACGCATTTTAAATTACATGCATATCAATTTTGACATAATATGTCAATTATTCTTATAAGGGCTTATGTGTATTAAAAGTACATAGAAGCCTTTAAAATTTAACCTTGTTTTAATAACAATGAAATGACCCAATTTACTTTACTTCTTTATGTATGGTCATTTTTCGAAATAAAGATTGACCAACATTTTAATAACAACTAAATATTTCTATCAAGAACAATGACAATAATATTCTATGCTATAATAATATTTACTAGCGGTGAAATTTTGTTTTTGTTTATTGTTTGTTTCAATATTAAAGGTGGATGCTTAAAAATTACATAATGGTACTTGATGCGTATAAATATTTGAAATTTCCACGCCTAACTACAAGTATTTAACTAAATTTAACTTCCAATAATCAAAAAAATTTAATCAATGAAGAAATATATTTTGTATTTTATATTCATATAAAGTATACACGGTACTTCTATGTGTATACTGTTTTCGATAATCGACCTTGACATGCAAACAACAACTAGAACGCAGTCGTAGTCGTTAGGTTTTCATCAAGTTTCAATAGACTTTAACATATAATTATATTATGTAAGAATTGTAAAATTTTGTTTTGTTTATTCAATAATTTTATTTAGCTTCGTGTGTTTTTGCGTAGTAATGATTGTGTAGATCTGAAAAGCAGTAAGAATAATCTAAATATAATTTTGTTTTTCTAGCATGCTAATTGCGTGAGGAATTATGCCGAAGACCACGTGAACCGGAGACAAGCGGCCGGAAAGTCTAATATTAGCGGCATTGCTACCATAGTTCTTCAGTTACCAGCCGTTAGATACCTACCCGGAGCCAAACCCGGCACGTTCTTTGCCAGAGACAATGTTTCAAATTTTATTACATGGTGTAGAAACGGATTAGGTGTTTTTGAATGTTTACTATTTGAAACTGATGACTTGATCATGCGCAAAAACGAAAAACATGTAATACTCTGTTTGTTAGAGGTGAATATAGTTAAAAACTCATTTGGAATTTTTATAGTCGACTGTATAAATGGACATCATCTAAAGTTCCAATACTATTATTAAATTAAACATCATCTAAAGTTCCAATACTATTATTAAATTAAACATCATCTAAAGTTCCAATACTATTATTAAATTAAACATCATATACATCATGTTAGGTGGCCAGGCGAGGTGCTAGAGTTGGTGTGCCAGCCCCAATGTTAGTCCAAATGGAGAGACAAATAGACCGGGAGATTGCAGCTGATAAGAAGTATGCTCAATTTTCACAGGGTACTGATTTTAATGACGAAGATGATACAGATTTAAGTGACGGAGAAGACCTAACTGAATATGGTCCATTACCTCAAATTGTCACAAATGATCTAAAGAGCTTAGATGAAATGGTAAGTTGTATTAAAATACAATTATTATATAAATCAATAATTACTATACCTTTGAATNTATATAATTAAATAATTACTATACCTTTGTATTAAAGTGCTGAAATGGTATTTAATTTATTTTACAAATTAAAAATTGGTTTTGATTACAATTCGTTAACATTAGAAGTAGTTATTCGTTTCTGTATTAAACAACAATTTAAAAATTTATATAAATATCAATATATACAAAAATAAACGTATTTATTTTTATGTACTATTTAGTATGTGTATGATTAGTGGTAGTTATATTTCTAACCTTAATTTCAGTTGTACTGGTGATGCAGTGTTCATTGATGTAGGAGTTCAAATATAGTTGATATTCGTGCGTATTTATTCGCTGTTCTCTCAAACATAGTTTGTTGATATTTCCATTTAATTCATCATGAAAAATCTTTTTGTTACTTGTTAGTTTTTATTTAGAGAGAAAACGAAAAACAAAAGTGTTCATTTTTTAATACATAGATATCATTACGTATTTCATTTCTTTTTTAAAACATAACCAACCAATTATTTTATCTTCTTATCACTTTGTTAGGCATGACAACATTTTTCCAGCGCCGCCACCACATAACGCGAATGCAAAAGTCCCACACGATGTTGCCGCATATTATACAATAATACGAGTAATCATACAATAATAGTACATTTACAACATTTCATCTAAACTGTACCATTACAGTGCATTGTGTTGATTTTAATAGTTTAACAAAGATTTATACAAAACTAGAAAAACTACTATTAAACTTCTTCTGTTCATAGTTTTTAGTTTGAAATTCGTTGTTTTTGCTAGTTTTTTTTTTTCAAAAATGATTTGCTCATAATGTCATTAAAATTTTTCTTGAAGTTACTCGTATAGTTACAAATTTGTTTAAATTACTTGAAGTTAGTGGTTTGTTTACTTTATAAGATACTTAACTAGTATCATGTTTAAAAGAAAATGAATAAAAATCAAGATTAAGATTAAATTATACGATATTTTGGTATGTTATGTAAAATAACATTTTAGAAGTTCATATTTTGTAATTTCACTGAATTTTTATTTAATTTCACCTATTGTTTTTAAATAGCCACCGGTTTTAGGAAATTTCACTGTGTTGTATTTACTGTTTTCCAGGTATCTAGTTTAGGTCACCTTTAAATTCGAAAGCCGTAGAGAAATTAAAAAAAAATTAAGTTATGAAATGTTATTATGAGTATCATTAATAAAATAGTCAATGTAATATTCACTATATTTATTTCAATTTACTTAATCTTGATTGTGTCCAAAGGCACGTAAAACTCAGCTTACTTATTGTATTATTTTATTTATTTGCAAGATTTTCTGATTTCGTTGATTAAATTACTGATGATTTAAATAAAAAAGAGTAACGAGCGTGATGAAAGTACAGTTTGTAAACATAATAAACTAGTTAAATGACTAGTATAGTACACGGCTACTTTTATAAATATAAGTTTATTCATTTTGTAGTTAACTTTTTATCATTAAAATTTTTTTATTTTTTGAAATATTTCCAGTACACCATAATAAACGATGACTGTCAATGATTCGTTGAAAAAAAACTTTGTAGTGACTGAACTCGCTGTTGAATTTCAAAGAATGGAAATGTCGGCATCTTCATTACTTTTGCTTAATGTAAAAATTGTGAATATTTCTACATGCTATTCCAAACGTTTTATTACTTCATACAAATAAAGTCTATGTGGTTTAATGAAACCTCAATACAAAATGTTACACATGGATTTATTGACGGGAGAATAATTTTCATTTTTTAACAACATTGTAGTTTCATAAATTAATTTTATGTAAATTTTCTGCGTAATACACATTTTGTTAGCGGATGCTATTCTGTATTTTGGAATGTGTTTTTTGTGCGCTGCTTGACATTATTTTTATTTTTTCTCTTTTTCATTACCGGTGTGATGCTCGAATAAGTATTTCAGTTTTTTCTCTACTGCCGCGGTTCGTGTGAACGGCCTTGATTGTTATTGGACGAAAAAAAATCATCGTGACATTGCGAATTAACGAAAACAAAGCGTTAGGTTTACTTCGAAGTTGCCGACCTTACAAACACCACGTCGGCGTCCGACCTGAGGTGTTACTTGTGTTTAAATGCCGCCTATCGAATATACTTAACACATTCGTGTATATATTTATAAGAATAATACATATCTACCCGTAATTAAAAAAGTCGGTACAATGACACCAGAGAAAGAAGTAGACTGTTCGCTATTGTAGTAATTAAAATAACATAGATCAAAATGTACAATTTAATTCGAGAGAGTTAAATAACTATCGAATGCGTTGTTCATTGTAGCAAACGTCGAGATAAAAAGAATACTTTAAATTATATTTTGAATTATATTTTGAATTCCGCTGTGAAGGCATAAAGTCAGAATATCTCAAGAAAACAAAAACAATATGTGTAGTGTATTCACAGATTTCAATTTTTTAGTTTTAATGGTTGTGTTTAATCATCGAAAATTGCCACTAACAATCTAAATAGATGTCATTAACTTAAACTGAATTAATGTATTTTTGTCAGACAAACATGACAGCTTGAATAACTGTTTGGGATGTTTAGTTACTTGTTACATACTAGTGGCATGTATAGATGTTATATCGAAGAATTCGATAACACGTTATTGAAATATATGATTGTTGGTGAAATTTTTTGCATATTGGTATTTTTCGATTGCCTAAAGTTTACTTGCTAAAANTGGTATTTTTCGAATGCCTAAAGTTTACTCGCTAAAATACCATTCCGGAAACACAATACGTGACGACCCATTAGTTTGTAACGTTAATATGTACTTTCTAATGTCAGCGAATCATTCATCGCGAGTTAATTCGCTGTAAACTCGTATTCATAAGAGCCGTCGCATACAAATAGAATTGATGCGTACGGTGGCCGTGCCTGAAGTATATATGATAAAATCGTACCACTTGATTAGTTTTGAACTATTGCTTTTTAACTGGATTTAACCGTTCGCCGTTTAATATCAATATACTGAATTACTATGCTATTCGTTAATAATTATTTATGAGAATATTTTATTATTATTTTTAATGGCGGACGACAAACGCTACAGCGCAAACTCAATTTTGTAGTGTTATTATGATGTGATACGTTGACGTATTGTTTACTTTGTTAAGGTACGAGATTTGGTGGAAAGGTGCAAGTGCCCAACTCAATTTCCAATGATTAGGGTGTCCGAGGGAAAATACCGGATCGGTGACACTAAAGTTTTGATATTCGTCAGGGTGAGTTCGCACCATTTTACAGTACGAGCATAGATTAAGTGTACTTACTCGTTTTTAATGGAATACGTTATTGAGATATTCAAATCGAGTATTTACACATAATCCTTGTGGTTATTAGATTATGTCAAGTTTAATTTGGTATTAATTTATGCGCATCATGCGTTTTGTATGGCCATTGTAGATCCTCAGAAGCCACGTTATGGTCAGAGTGGGTGGCGGATGGGACACGCTGTCTCATTACTTGGATAAACACGATCCATGCCGATGCAAAACTGGTAAGCTTTTTGCTCCTATAGATTGAAACCACCAGGAAAATACTGTTTTTATTGTCTACTATGGTGTAAATGACTACTATAAATTATTGATATTATTACTATTAATGTTTTTTTGCACAAAAACTGGGTTTATTTATTTTCAATTTTATTTTACCGGTCATGATAGCAGTAAATAAAAAAATAAATCTGTAGAAAGTGTAGTAAATATAAAATAAAAGTGCATCATTTGTTGTATATTTTACAAAGTTGATAATAAAAATAATATTAACAGTGTAGGATAGTTATTGGGACAATTATTGCGTTAAATTGGCACGTTGTGCCAACATTGTTCACCAGTGTGTAGCATACAGAGTGTATTGACTTAATAGCCATACCTCCTACATAGTTTGATATGTTTTTACGCTTTTCATTGCTTGTATGTAGCTTATTATTATTATTTTTTTGTTTTTCTTTTGGCATACAACGTTTTCATTTAAACAGCACATCGAGCACCTGTGTCCGCAAAACTGACTGGAATCAAAAGCGGCGGGCCCACGTTGGAATTGTCGCATGCTCAAGTCCACTACGACAGGTCGGTATTTATGGCAAACTTATAGTATTTCACTAATAAAGTTTATACTGATTTATTTNTTTATGGCAAACTTATAGTATTTCGCTAATAAAGTTTATACTGATTTATTTTATGTAATGAGTTTAGCGTATGTGAAGTAGAATATATTGCATGACTTATCTTTTAGTGGCAAAGTAAAATAGAAAATAACGATAGTGTATTTAATATACAGAATGAGAGTAAAGTATTATTAATGTGACCGTAAAACGGTTTCAGTACTTCGATTGGCCCATAAATCGTGTGGAAAATACGCGTTCCCAACTGTAAATGTTTGCGGGTGACTTTCATGTTGTTTATGAGACTACATTAAAATCCAAACTGGACATTATTAAATAAAATAAAAAGATCAAGACTAAAAATAAACGTTGTGCATGATTAAATTAAGTAAATAATCAAATTTTTGCTGTTCAGCTTGTTTGAGGTTAAGCATATCAGAGAAGTTCTTAGAGGTTATTTTAAAATTAATGATGACTTTAACGACCGTGAGAAATCGAAATAAAATACTTAAAATTTTTTTATAAAATATATAAGCAAATAAATTATGAATGTCGTCTATAGATCACCGCCACGAACACGTAGGTCGTCAACGTCAAGCACCGGCAGCAGCGGAAATGGTCACCCTGGCGGTCTAAGTTTGACTACTGGAGGTTTGAATACGGCCAAACGTGCTAGTCGCCACCGAAGCAGATCGCCATCTCCACGCGTTACCACTAGATTGAGCGCACCTTTAGAAACGGGCAGGCGAAGCAGAAGTCCAACCCCACGAAACATCGAACGTTTAACTGTTCAACCGCAGAATGGTAATAGATCAAGGTCTATAACGCCCAGCCGTCAAAAATTCTATAGAGCAGTATCGCCAACTGACCATTTACTAGTGCCCAGTGCCTCTGAAGTTAACAGAAGTCGTTCATCATCTTTCAGCCGAAGGGGCGTGGACGACACGCCAACGGCAAAAATATCAGACAATTTTACATCAGAATTGTCAAAAGAATTTCAAGACCGTTTGTCAAGAGAACCTATCGTCGAGTTATTCGAACCCAAGAAAAAATACTCCTTGGACGCTATAGACGATGGAAAAACCATTGATACAACGTCCACGTGCAGGGTTTCGGATAATTTCAGAGGGACTGAACACTATCATGTTCTTAATCCAACACCTGTAATGGCCATCGAAAGAAGACATTCGACAGTTAAAGAAGAAGAGTGCACTATAGACACCACACCAGTATATCGAGTGTCAGACAGTTTAAGAGTTCGAAAGAAATCGCATTCGAGTACTAAAGATGCTAAGAAATCCGAACCAGTAGGTACCGACAGTGGTTCTGAAGTATCAGACGAAGGTTACCGAAGTTTGGGAGTTGTAACCACCCCACCCGCTAATCAAAATTCAAATGTTGCGCCAAAATTTAACGGTAAGCGCCAAAGTTCAGTAAATTAATACATGTGTACAAAAGGTTTCATTGATCCCCATTTAAACTTTCTCGAACTCATGTAATATTTGAACACAAATGTGATAAATTTACTCAAGTTTTTAGCATTAAGCAATTTGAAACAATTAACATTTATATTGCGAAATTTACTTGCTTGTTTTCTGTTTAACAATTAAAAGTGAAAACTCCCTTGTCCGGTTTCCACTAACTCGTTTACTTCGCATCGTTAACGAGGAAGTTGTGGTTCTATGGTGTTCCATGCAGTAAAATATAATTAATACTTTTTGTTGGTGTGCGGTGTGCAGATTAGTGGAAACTCGCGTTTAAAGCTCAAATGTAAATTAAAACTTTTATTAATACTTTAGGGTATGTTGCTATCGTTTTTACTAAGCTATGTGTTACGGTTGGGTGTTAATATATATTAAATTGACACTAATCTTTCAGCTGCGAATTCAATATTTATTATATTACCGGCAAATATTTGAGATTGCTGTCGGTGTGCTTGTATTGTAACAGTTATTCACGGATAAGACCACCGCAAAGACTTGATTATGTATAATAATTAATTTTACAATGTATTACTACACAGTCGACGACCCACACGTGCATGATAGATAGCCAACAGCAGTTTGCTACGATTGGTATTCTCGTTTTGAAAATAGGTACATTTATGTACGCCGATCCATCGAACTCGTTAAAATAGAATATCGTGTAACATTAAGTACATTTAGAACAAATAATTAAATTAATTGCTTTGGATGCTCGTGTGTCACTTGCATGCTTGTTTGAACTTCAATTATTAATTAGTAAAAATGTACAAATGGATCACAGGTAAGAAAATCAAATGAACTGTGCGTAGGAAAAGAGTGGTAGAACATTGTACTATTGGTACAATACTTTAGAATTATTTACACATTTGTTTGAAAAATATTAAATAATTTCAAAGTTTTGAGTAAATTTAAGTGGCAAATTAACAAAAAGTTGGCTTAGTGATACTTAAAGTCGCTGGGTTTTATTCGATAATTTTTTTGTTAAATATTTTTCTGTTAGAGGTAAAAATGTCGTAAAGACTTCCTAAATTATTTGACGAAAATATCTCATACTGTTTTTGTGGGTTAATGATAAAAAATACTTTTGCCGCGACTTAAGCTCTAGTCAATTTGTGTTTTTCTTAAGAATGATTTAATAGGTAGTTTCATAATTTAACGGATTAAAATCAATATTGTGTTTTTTAAAGACCGTGAAATTACGTTGGCGGTGTGCAGTTTTTGATTTTGTGTCTTGACCAACCTTCTGTCCTAGTGAATTAAACTCAAACGCCTTCTCACGAGCACTAGCAGTGTCGAAATCTTAGTGGCACAACGTGTTTTTAGTTGTTCGGCTTATACATCACCTCAACGAGCTCCATAGGATAGGATAGTGTTGTTTATCTCGAGTTCTATATTTTTCTATTACGACGCACAAACGGACCATGAGAGTTATGACGCCCACACTAGACACGACGAACCAAAACCTGCACGTATGAGTGCTTTACAAGTGTTGCCCGGTGATTTGGGTCTCATTTTTATTTTATTTTTTAACAACTCTGCAACTGTCAACAGAGTAGTATGCCCACACTAAGTTTCAATTGGATCGAACATCTCGAGCAGGTGATCGTAAACGCAGAGGACTCCATGCAAATTATTTGCAGACCGAACTACCCGAAAAGAGGTTTTAAATAGCAACTGATGGTTTTTTTACTCGACACAAACTCTCCGCTTTAGTAGCATTTAAGGCTTTGAGCGTTGACGTTTTTCGTAAATTTATAATCCAGTATTTATTATTATTTTCAAATAAAATAATTTTTTAACGCAGCCCTCAGCAATGTTGTTTGATTTTTTACGATGCATATTTCTTTAAAAATCCGATTTTATTATTTGTTACGTACAACTTTATTGATCAAGTTGTAAAGTCGAAATCAAGTTATGCGTTTTCGCCTCGTCGGTCAAATTTATGTCATATTAGTTATTTCGCGCAGTACAAAATTTATTCAGCTCCTACTTTTGACGTTCGCCATAAATTATGTATTTATAATGAATATCGTATAGCGCCCGTATAATTTATCATAGATCGTGTCCAATACATTGCACTTACTTATTTACATATATATTGTTGAGAAATTCAGCCCTGTGCCTAAACAATACTGTGAATTTCGCACAATCCACCAACCGTAATGGTAATTTATTAATTTTACATGCATTGTATGCACTTGTGGTGTAAAGTTATCGAACATGGTCCTGCGTAAGAGCTTTCTAATAACCTTTAATGATTTTTATGATTCATAGGTGAAACTTGTGGCGTGATAGTTATTTAGCAACACTTTTAATAAAAATAATATTGGAAGGAAAACTTGAAATGTGAGACTAATTTTTTTTATCGTTACCCACTGCGTTTGACATGTCTGGCAATTCACTGTAACGTGCTTTTATTAATACTCGACGTTTATTAGTCCATTAATCGTAAGTGTCTTTATCGTACAGACTTGAACGTTTAATATGACTATCACAGTTATAAAAACCAACACATTAAATCATTATTAAGTAGAAACTGTGCAGTATTTACAACTTATCTTTTAAAACAATAGTATTTCATAAAAATAAAAGAGAGAGAGAAACAGTAAAAATTAAATTATTTATCGAGTGAAAAAACATGATGAGTATTTTTCAAAACAAGTCATTGGATTAATTAAAAAGGACAGAATAAATTAGGGAGACATTCCAAAGTGTGCCATTGCCGTTTTTCAAATTGTTAAATAAACAATTTTTTTCCAGAAAATGTATACTTAAATTTAATTTATATTAAAAAATTTACATTATATGCAAATTTCATGTTAAATTTAAATTTATATTACGTAATATAATATTCAATATTCAAACAAGTATTTCAACGAATTTAAAACAAGAATAGAACAATATCTTTTTAATTGTTGGTGACGGTATGCATTAAAATTTTGCCTCTTGATTATAAAACGAAATCAACAGAAGACTCTCTTTATAAGTTTCGCGGGGTAAACCATTTACTGTTAATGAAGCTGAGAGAATAGGTTGCTCACTTGAAATCTATTTTTTCTTGTTTATAAATATGAAAATATAGAAACGAAACACATAGGGGAAAAAAAGTTGTTGGGAGTAATTGTAATCTCAGAGTACGTGTTTGGCAAACTTTTCACTATATGGCGAAGAGGGTTAGGGTGTCAGTTCCGAATAAAAGGGGACAAAATCAAAGGAAAAATAGTAGTAACCTTTGATCTCGAGCATTTCCCACTGTTTTTGATAAATGTTACACCATATATCAACGGGAGTCTTCAACAGTGTAACCTAGATCTTAAATAAACACCACGAAAATATCCGCAGTGATATTTCCTTTTTGTTATTATCTCTATTATGAGTGTTTGTACAAAGAAGACCTTCTCAAGTTTGCTCGTGGAATTGGTAGCAAACGTCACTTAAAACACTGAATTAACCAGCGATGTAATATACCGGTGCTTAGTGCCTTGTAAAACNACACTGAATTAACCAGCGATATAATATACCGCTGCTTAGTGCCTTGTAAAACCACTCGACGCCCATAAAAATAAATTATTGATAGCAAATATAAAAAAAACATTAGGTGTTTTAAGTCTAACGCATTGATTTACGATTACACCTGAGTCACACCTATGCGGTCATTATTCCTATGCCGTAACCGCGGGCGGTGTCCACTGTCAGGTTTTTCACGATTTAACACGACACAATTATATGTACTTTGCGTACACGTTAAAACTTAATGTCGTTATGTATTTGCAGGCACACCTCCGCCGGTTACACGGGTCACCCGGCCGCCACGCAGTCGTTCGGCTGGTGGCAAAGAGACGCCCAGCCCTCAACAGTCACCGTTCCGTCGGAACCGCTCTACCAATCAATCGTCCAGACAACCAAGAGTATCGTCGGTGGTGAGCCGCTCGACAACGCCTACGCCTCAAATGAGCCGCAGGTCGCCGTCCATGGACGGACGTCCAACACCGGTGACGACTGTGGCCGCTCTCGGCAGGAACAACACTTGGAACGCTACCGGTGGTCGACACTGGACAGGCAAACAGCGGTCGCAAATTACGGCCGACACTTTCTGTCAGCAAGTGGCCGACATTATCAGTCAATACGCCGCACTGTCGCCCAGTCCGAGGAAAGATTCGAAGCCGGACTCGGCAATGGTGACCAGGATCCCGGCACCCGTCCAAAGATCTTAAGACGTTATATTGTGGTGATCATCTTTTTTACCAGTATTGCCTCATCTTTATACGAAATTCTCCTTTTCTACCTTTATATTTCCTTATTTCTAATTTTCGGTTTTCCCCACTCCACACATCTCCTCGAAAACAAGTTATTTGTTATGTTTACCAACAAATTATAATCTAGCGAGTCAAATTTAGTCGCTAATATATATTTTTTGTTATTATAAATAAATTATTGTAGTTGTTATTATGTACAGGGTTTAATCGTAGAGGTAAAATTATTATATACATGTGTATTTAAATTATTAACGCTAACTGTACAACGTGATTGTATTTTATAAAATGTTATGTTGTTTTTTGTGTCGGAGGATTTGTAATCGACAGAAACAACGACTTTTTGTGCAAACGGATGGTGCTAAAAAAATGGCCTTAACGTGTTAAGTTTATATCGGCGACTGCTTTACGATTTCATTCGTGTAGACATGACGTGCGCGTGTTATTAAGAATATATAATGTAATAATATTATAATTGTGTATATTTTTTAAATTACTGATTTTAATCTTTGTAATAATAATTATATTTATAAACGGCGTTCGCCGATGGTTGTTACGAGTAAAGTCGAAAAGCAATTCTTCTGTAATATTAATTATTAGTCATTGAACTACTATTAAAATTGTATAACCATATATGATATAATAATACTAATACTATGTGCTCCTTTCCATTATTTTGAAAAAAATCATTAGATTTTACCAACCTCGTCGTTGTATTGTTATGATAACGAAGTCAATAATAAAATAAACACGAAAAATATGTTTATAATAATATTGTAATATTTTTTTATTTTCACGTTGTATTAAAACTTCAGTGAATTTCTCTGGACGTCTCAACTACACTTGATCTGTACATATAACTCGTTCGCTCCTTAACGGGCGACTACCATTTTTGGTAGACTACATAGTTCTTCGCGGTTGTTGGTTACATCCGATTTAGTAATGTAATCATTCTGTTTTACGTGTAATTCAGTTGTAAATGATAATTTTAGATGTTTCTAGTTTTCAAAACTGTATTTTATTAAAAGCGTAGTCCATTACGGCGCTATTCTTTTTTTACCAAAAAAACAAATGAAGTGTATATCTGCAACGTACTGATGGCATCATTGCTGCTAAATGCGTTAGTGATGTTTTAGCATAAATTTTCCACNGCTAAATGCGTTAATGATGTTTTAGCATAAATTTTCCACTCCAAAAAAACGTCTCTACGACTAATTAGGGTGTTGAATACATTTTTATACGAAAATGGCGCGACGAGGTCTCGCGATGCCTTCGGCTGGACGTCGTGCACAACACAAGTGTACTATGTTTTTTAGGAATCTGTAAACAACATTATGGTACGCTCATAAACTGTGCACTGTCACTTTTGTGTCATTTTTCCTGAGGTTAATTTTATTTCGACGGCCGTAATCATTTACACCTTTAAAACGTGTTCATGTACGATAAAATTATAATTAGTTACTGTTGACCATCGCACAATGAATTTCCTAGGAGACATCGCGTATCAGGTACGGTATTTATTTGTTTAGTTATGAAAAACGAGTTATTTGCATCTATGTGTTGTTTGTTTATTGTTTATGGTTGCGCGAAACGTCAAAGATAATTACTTTGTTAATTGTTTTTCAGCATGTTGAACTGGAATCAATTTTTTTTAGCCTTACCGTATAAATCAAGTGACTCGTTCAAATCGGATGGAAAGAAAACAATAAATATTATCAATTATTGTGTCTATTTAATGACATTTCGTTTGATTATCAGATTATTAACTGTCGGACATCCAACAGTGAGAGAACTGACGTTTGTTTATCATTGTACTCAGATGATTACAACTGCCAAAGCTAAATTGCCGACTTTGACAATTAATAATAAAGATAAACACGAGCATTTTGTTGAATGATTAACCATTTGGATTTCATATTAAGTTCTTCTTTTGACTGCAAACGTTCCTGCGCAGTTGGTTCTTTTTATAACACTTCCGTAGTTACATAGGAAAACAAACGGAAACGCGCGAGGCCGTTGAACTGATATCAAAGAACGTTTAAATATTTTTTAGCCTTTTAGATATTTTATCTAAATATATAGATTTTAATGGCATGCTTCGTAAAGGGTTTTTGTTGATTTTATTACATCTTTGACTAGTCCTTCGATAATCGAAGACTCCATACTGTTGCGCGAGTGTAAAAAACGTCAATTTTTTGTGGGGGTTTGCGTAAGATCGGAAAAAAATTGTAAATCGATAAGAGCGTGAACAGTTTAATGTAATGTAGAGTGTACCGCCGACATTGTGGGACCTTGTTGTACCATATCCGGTCACATGGATGTTTTTAACATAATCAAACCGATATGGGCACAATCCGTACAACACATGTGTCTAATAGACGTTATTATTACAATTATACGTAGTGCGCACAAAGACTACACGTCGAAAGAAACGTTTATATGCTGATGATATGTGCAACCGGAGNATATGTGCTGATGATATGTGCAACCGGAGAGAGGTAAAAAATTGCATCATTATAACGAATGATGAAACGAAGTATACACTAATCGTTTTGTAATATTCAATAAGTCTTGAATTAAGATTGCTCATTTTTAAATAATAGATAATAACATATTACCTATAAAACACACATACGAATACTCTGATTGCTGTTTTTACTGCTTTACGGGCAGCGGCAATGTTGCGCGTGGGAAGTTCTTTGTCGGGAGCGTTACCATAAGAATTAACAGCAAATAAATACAATGTTGAAATAATAGTTGTAAAATAACTTTTGCCAAACATATCACATAGATGTTTCGTGAAAAATGTTCCTCTATCAAAATTGAAAAGCTATCAGGGCAATAGGTCATAGTGGTCCAAAAGAAATATAAGTGCTTGATAAGCTCTTGGCGATGTCATTTAAGATTGAGTACCATCAATAAAATGTTCGTTTTTTAGTTGTTATAAATTTACAGTGTTCTTATAGAAGCGTTTTTGTAAGTGTAGTATGGGAAACCAAAATTACTTCTAGCAAAATGAAGTACACATAAAATATGTAGTAAAAAACTTAGTGTCGTTGTGACCGTGATCGAAGAGGTCAAATTGTTATTATTGACTAGCCTTCATATTTATTTTATGTTGTGGAAACTGTGAACTATAGATGCAGTAGGCAAATAAAAAGAAACTGGAGACATACTTTTTGTCATTTAATATTACAGGACATAAATTATCCCATATTGTTGCTTGTCATTATGGTTTATTTATCGAAGTCTAGAATAATACTAAAGTTGATGACTAATTATTTTTATACTCCATTGCTTGTATAATAAAATATTTTGACGGATAAAATAGTTTTTTTTATTTAAACGCGAGAAACTGATATCGATGAACATTAGTTTTCAAAAAATTAATTAATCTATCCGTAAATTGTAGTTGTATTAATAACTTAAAATTGGTGTTAAATTAGTTTTAAAATTATTGGAATGAATTGAGTATTTATAAAAGATTACACACATCTATTTAATTATGGTAATTGTTTTTTTCTCTCTGGGTAGGAGATAGGAATACTTCTACGGCGCCTCAGCCAGTGGTAAGAAGTCACTAATGCGGTTGCATCAGGTCGACAGCCGGTGTAAAATTTTGTCAGAAAATATGAGGAGTCCTGACAGAACTCAGGCGGATTGTCCCGTCTCGGATGTACACGGGGACAACTGATGAGAGGAGTACGGCTGATGTGTGCGTAGATGATGTGGTAGATCGTGTCAAATGGAAGTTTAGGTTGAGGTTGGTCGACCCCAAGTAGTTGGGATAAAGGCGAGGAAAAAGAAAGAAGGTTAATGTGTTTTCAAAGCGATCTATTTAATGTTGTTTTCATTGATTTGCAGCAAAACTATTTTCGATAACGTGATTTTACTCCTCAAATTTGTAGAAATATAATTTCGCTAATTTTCCGTTGGTCACACTGTTAATAATTTAAATTTACGTTGCTATCGTTCAAATCTCATAAATTAATTGTTACCGCCATTTTACTATTATAACCACTTTATATATTACTATTATATAACCCAGTGTAATTAAATTTTATGTTTGTGATTTAAATACTACCATATAATTTTCATTTACATGAAAAATTAATATCATCGTAAGACGATAATGGGAACGAAATTCAATTTGTTTGACGCAAAGATAACGTTTTTAGTTTTATTTATTTTATTATTTGGAACAATAAATATATTTTACTACTTAAATAGTTATTGATAACGAATTGAGATAAAATAGGTTTAAAAATATACAAATTTCAATTTAATCTAACTGCGTGTTAGTCAACACAAACACTGAACGCTTTGAAAATATTTATGTCTTATAAAAAGCTATTTCCGGGTTCACGATTGTCTTTGTCATGATAAATACAATCTAAAAATGATACGTTAAACAAATAAGACAAGTTAAAACGTTGATGCTTTGGTATAAATGAAATTAGAGTTTAATATGACAGATGACAATCAAAAGTTTTGATGTATTTTAGGCTAGTCTTTTCGCAGGTACAATATTGTTGTTGGAAATTTTTTGTTAATACAGCGAAACGCTGTGTATTTTTTAACTAATATTGTCTCCATAAAGTGACATAAAATTATGCTAAAAGCTCGGTCGTAACTTTAGTGGATATCCAACAAGTTGTTATTTATTAACTTTATTACCTCTAAGGAAGTCTTTAGTCATTATATTTAGATTTTAAATGTAAACCCTTTCCAACAGTGTCCTAAATCAATTGAATCTTAATATTCTCTGTTTATCAGTTATTTCCGATTCCTCAAAATGTTTATTAATTTTATATTGAAATATTCATCAAAGTTTGAGCTGATGGTAACAGCGAAGCTTGCGCATTTCCATCAAACTGTCTACACGTGTAAATTTTTCCCCGAGTTTGAGGGTAGAGAATAAATTTAGGCAGCGGTCGAAGAGAGAAAGATGTGCGTTGTTAGTAAATTATTATAAACTTAACTTATACCCTATTTGCGTGTGCTCAATAGTTACTTAAAAATCGTTTTTACTTATACTTGTTTTCCTTTCTTTGAAGAATATTTCATTTTAGATGACAATATTTGAAAATATGCATCAGTAAATAATCATTAAAAATATGTTCGTTATTTACTAATGGCGTATTTGAAAAAATACATCGAATCAGTTTCAATCAGTTTCTAGTAAATCGAAATCATTATAAAATTTATTTAGAATACCTAACTTACTGTTTAGTGTTTGTATTATTAAATTATTTGAAGTTTATTCAAAATGTAAATTTATTTAAGATAGTTTTAAATGTTCTAAATTTAATGTAAAATTGTGTTCTATGCTATTCTAAGGGTTGTTCTTTATATAAATCAATTACATAACAATATATGTGTATATTTTATATATTTTTCAGTAAATAGATCCCTTTGAATATGATTAAAAAATTGATATCTTATTTAAATTAAAAAACAAATTATGTTCCATAATTTAATTTTATTATTGTCTGGTAACATAATTATCTGATAGTATTTGCTTGAAGTACAAATGATAATATTAACGGTTTTCTGGCTCAAAAGGCGTACATAATTCGGTCTATTGAAGATGACCCTTCAAGTTGTCTAATGTTCATTTTGTAGAAATGTTATAATGATTAAACATAAAGCTCAACAATCGCTATTTAAATTAATTGATAGGTTACTGTATAACTCTATAGATAAACATGTTTGACGGCTACACCTCGTAACCGAATGTCAACATTTATTTTAATTGAATTAGTT